AAGCTGTGTGGTTCTGAGTTAGTTTCTGAATTCTGAGTTCTATCTTGATTGTACTGTGGTCAGAGAGACTGTTTGTTATGATTTCAGTTCTTTTGCATTTGCTGAGGAGTGATTTACTTCCAATTATGTGGTCAATTTTAGAGTAGGTGTGATGTGGCACTGAGAAGAATGTATATTCTGTGGATTTGGGGTGGAGAGTTCTGTAAATGTCTATCAGGTTTGCTTGTTCCAGGTCTGAGTTCAAGTCCTGGATATCCTTGTTAATTTTCTGTCTGGTTGATCTGTCTAATATTGACAGTGGAGTGTTAAAGTCTCCCACTATTATTGTGTGGGAGTCTAAGTCTCTTTGTAAGTCGTTAAGAACTTGCCTTATATATCTGGGTTCTCCGGTATTGGGTCCATATATATTTAGGATCGTTAGCTCTTCTTGTTTTATTGATCCTTTTACCATTATGTAATGTCCTTCTTTGTCTCTTTTGATCTTTGTTGCCTTAAAGTCTATTTTATCAGAGATGAGAATTGCAACTCCTGCTTTTTTTTGCTCTCCATTTGCTTGGTAAATCTTCCTCCATCTCTTTATTTTGAGCCTTTGTGTATCCTTGCATGTGAGATGGGTTTCCTGGATACTGCACACTGATGGGTTTTGGATTTTTATCTAATTTGCCAGTCTGTGTCTTTTGATTGATGCATTTAGCCCATTTACATTTAGGGTTAATATTGTTATGTGTAAATTTGATACTGCCATTTTGATGCTAGCTGGCTGTTTTGCCCATTAGTTAATGCAGATTCTTCATTTTGTTGATGCTCTTTACCATTTGGTATGTTTTTGGAGTGGCTGGTACTGGTTGTTCCTTTCTATGTGTAGTGCCTCTTTCAGGAACTCTTGTAAAGCAGGCCTGGTGGTGACAAAATCTCTGAGTACTTGCTTGTTTGCAAAGGATTTTATTTTTCCTTCACTTATAAAGGTTACTTTGCCTGAATATGAAATTCTGGGTTGAAAGTTCTTTTCTTTAAGAATGTTGAATATTGGCTCCTACTCTCTTCTGGCTTGTAGGGTTTCTGCCATGAGATCTGCTGTGAATCTGTTGGGCTTCCCTTTGTGAGTAACCCATCCTTTCTCTCTGGCTGTCCTTAGTATTTTCTCCTTCATTTCAACCCTGGTGAATCTGATGATTATGTGCCTTGGGGTTGCTCTTTTTGAGGAATATCTTTTTGGTGTTCTCTGTATTTCTGCGACTTGAATATTCGCCTGCCTTGCTAGGTTGGGGGAGTGTTCCTGGATAATATCCTGAAGAGTATTTTCCAGCTTGGATTCATTCTCTTCGTTATATTCAGGTACACCTATCAAATGTAGATTAGGTCTCTTCACATAGTCCCATATTTCTTGGAGACTTTGTTCATTCCTCTTTGCGCTTTTTTTTACTTATCTTGACTTCTCATTTTATTTCATTGAGTTGATCTTCGACCTCATATCCTTTCTTCTGCTTGGTCAATTCGGCTGTTGAAACTTCTGCATGCTTCATGAAGTTTTCGTGTTGTGTTTTTCAGCTCCATCAATTCACTCATATTCCTCTTTAAGTTGTCCATTCTTTTTATCATTTCCTCAAATCTTTTTTCAAGATTCTTTGTTTCTTTGCATTGATTTAGAACATGTTCTTTTAGCTCACGGAAGTGTCTCATTACCCACATTCTGAAGTCCGATTCTGTCATTTCATCACACTTATTCTCTGTCCCGCTTTGTTCCCTTGCTGGTGAGGAATTGTGATCCCTTTTAGGAGGTATGGTGTTTTGTTTTCCTCCTTTTTGTGCTGGTTTCTTCCCATCTTTGTGGATTTATCCACCTGTCATCTGTGTAGTTGCTGATTTTCAGATTGGGTCTCTGAGTAGATGTCCAGATTGTTGATGATGAAGTTATTTCTGCTTCTTGGTTTTTTTTCTAACAGTCTGGCCCTTCTGCTGTAGGACTGCTGAGGTCCACTCCAGGCCCTTCTTGATGGGGCATCACCTGTAGCAGCTACAGAACAGTAAGTGTTGCTACCAGTTTCTTCTTCTGCTATCTTTGTCCCAGAATGATGCCTTTGTGAGGTGACTCTTTGGATATACGGGGGGTCAGGGAGCTGCTTAAGGAGACAGTCTGTTCTTTATAGAAGCTCAAGTGCTGAGCTGTGAGCTCCATTGTTCATTCAGAGCTGCTAGGTGGGTACGTTTAAGTCTGCTGCAGCAGAACTCATAACCCCCCCTTTTTTCCCCAGATGCTCTGTTCTGGGGAGTTAGGGCTTTATTTATGAGTATCCATTGTGCTGCCGTCTTTTTTTTTCTTTTTTTTTTTCAGGGCTGTCCTGCACAGCAAGGAGGCAGCCTAGTCACTGTCTGCCTGCAAAGGCTTTGCTGATCTGCTGTGGGGTCCACCCTGTTGCTGTGGGCTCCGCCTGCTGCCGTGTGTATTTCTCTGCAGTCCTGTTTATATGGGTGTGGTTAGAAGTGCCTCGGCAATGGTGGCCCGCCTCTGTAATGGCGGACTCTCTGTGTTATGGTGGGTTGCCTTGGCAACAGCAGGCTGCAACAGCAATGGCAGACTACCTCCACAGGGGTGGAGTGCCTCGATAATGGCAGATGCCCCTACCCCACAGAGCTGGACCATCCCAGGTTTAGCTGTGCTTGCCGTGAAACTCTCAACGCTGAGTGTTTCCAATTGCTGTTTTGTTTGTTTGTTTTTGTGGGCATGGGACCCACCAAGCCTGATCACCTGGCTCCCTGCCTCAGAGCCCCCTTTTTTTTAAGTTGAATGGTTGACTCTCTCCCAGGTGTTCCAGTCGCCTGCTGAAAGGGTACCAGGATATGTGTGATTTCCTGTGCGGTGACCCACTGTGCCGGCTGAAACAATGTTGCTTCCTGGGAATCTCCTGACCTGACTCTATGTTTCAGTCCCGTTTAATCAGATGAATGGGCTAATCTGCCTTCCTGGATTTCCAATTGCCAGTTTAACAGGGCAACCAGACCAGTGTATCTTGTACGGAGAGCCGCTGTGCTGCAGCATGGGCCGAAATGGCCGCGCTAGCCAAAACTGCCATGCCTGTCGAAACAGCTGCACTGGCTACCCGTGGGACTTCTCTGCCTGGGAATCTCCTGGTCTGTGGGCAATAAAGATCTGTCTGGAAATGCAGTGTCCACTCACTCTCTGTGCTTTCACTGGGAGCTGCAATCCTGAGCTGCTCCTACAGCACCATCTTGAATCTTCTCTGATTTTTTTTTTCTTTCAACTGATGAGTTATTTAGGCCTTAAGTTGTTTTCTTTTATTTCCTTTTCTTTTTTGGAGACAGAGTCTTGCTTTGTTACAAGGCACCAGGCTGGAATGCAGTGGCACAATCTCAGCTCACTGCAACCTCAGCCTCCCAGGTTCAAGCAGTTCTCCTGCCTCAGCCTCCTGAGTAGCTGGGACTCCTGGCACATGCCACTGTGCCCAGCTAATTTTTGTATTTATTGGTAGAGGTGGGGCTTCATCATGTTGGCCAGGATGGTCTCTATCTCTTGATCTTATGATCTGCCCACGGTGGCCTCCCAAAGTGATGGGATTACAGGCATGAGCCACTGTGCCTGGCCAGCCTTATGGTTTTAATATGATTTGCATGAGTAAACCTTTTCTATTTCTTTCCTGTATTATCCTTACCTAGCTGTTTTGGGATGTCTCTGCCCCAGGACAAATTCACTGTTCACCCTTATCAGTCAAAAACAGCTCCTTCCCCTCCACTTTTCTCAAGTTTACCGCTATGAGTGATCTTGATGAGAGGAGCCAGTATTCGTTTTAGTATAGCACCTTGGTCAAAATTAGAATCAGAAGATCTTGAAAAATCTTTCCACCACTCTCCATGATATTTGAGGCAATGTGTATGAGAGGTTCTGGGATTTCATTCCCAGGGAAAATCCTAGGAATAGCTGAGCTTTCTTGTCTCTTGAGTTAGTGCCCAATGTACCAGTGCCCACAGGATGTTGAGGCAGAACAAGTGGAAAGACATTTGTAGTTTGACATGATGAGCTAGACTTGCAGGATCTCTTTTGTAAGATTCCTTTCAGGATACCAACTCTCTTTAGGCAGACAGTCCTTATTCTAGGAGTCCACACAGTCATTTCCATGGTGGGCCCTGGTGTTGGAGCATAAGAGAACAAACTAGGAGTTCTACAGAAAATTCTGCTAATTGTTTCAGGAATATTGTATTTAGGAATATTGAAAGATGTAATATTTCATTTATCTGGTATGAAGGAGTATTCTCCTTAAGCAAATTTTCCAGACAATTGAAGCTGACCTTTAAGCACCGATAATTTTATGTTAACCATTTTGATGGAACTCTGTCTAAATCATATTTAATACCATTTTGAATATATGTTTCTTTATGCCTTCTTAAACAGATTATATTGAATGTAATTTCACCTTTTCTTGAAAATGTAGGGGCTTCATGAATACCAATTTTACTTTGCTATCACAGTGATTCCCTTAGGATGAATATAAACTCAAGTGTTTGAATCTTAAATTCTTATTTAATTTAACAGGTAGTTTTGAGCAACCGTTATGTGTTGAATACTGTTAGATGCTCTTTCTCATAATTCTTGCAGTGTTATACTAGCATGTGACAGTCTTCATCTAATCTACAGGGGCCACTAGGAAACCAGATACATCAAGATAATTCAAATTGTTAAAGGGAAAATGCAGTAAGTAGGAGATTTGCCACACCTCTTTTAGATAATCAAATTCCTGTTTTTTATTATCACAAGGCTATTGATTTTAATAATAGAAAGTTGAGATTATTAATTACCTTTAACCATGTAAGTCATATCATTAGGATTGAGAAATAGTCAATGATACTAGTTTTTTGACTTGACACGTGTGTGTGTGTGTGTGTGTGTGTGCATGTACAAGGTTCTAGTTTAGACTTTTCCCTCTGCCAACATGGCTAAATAGGGCTCACAATTTTATAGGAAGTTTACTTGAAGATATTTTACTTACTTTTTACTGAATAATACTGCTGTCTTATGGGTAGGCATACCCTGGAAGAAGAAGAAGAAAGGATATTGATGAATAAGCAATTTCTGGAGGTTATTATCATTGTCCAGTAATATTTAGTGAGCCATTAGTTAAATGCTATTTAGATAACTTTGACAAATTCTTTTTATATGCATAAGCACATAAAATTTTCAGGCAAAATTTTGAAAATATATTTATTAGTATTATTCATCCTACCTTTTTTCGTATTTATATGACCAGACTAAGGCATAGAAAGGCAAAGAATGTTGTCCAACGTCACATAGCTGGTTAGTGGCAGGACTGGGCCTGGAATCTGGGATCTCTGAGTCCACATTCTTGGCTCTCTCACTATACTATTCCATCTTCTGCTCAGCCAGTGACACTTAGAGAAGTTTGTAGGCTAAGAAAACTGTATAAATATATCTTAAGAGATAAGTCTTAAACGCTATAAAAATCTAAAGATGAGTGATCAAATTTGCCTTCATCCCCAGGATGCAAGGTTGGTTCAACACAAATCAATAAACATAATCCATCACATAAACAGAACTAAAAACAAAAACTAGATGATTATCTCAATAGATGCAGAAAAGTCCTCTGATAAAATTCAACATTCCTTTGTGTTAAACGCTCTCAATAAACTAGGTATTGAAAGAACATACCTCACAATAATGGAGCCACATATGACAAATCCACAGCCAATATCACACTGAATGGGCAGAAGCTGGAAGCATTCCCATTGAAAACTGGCACAAGACAAGGAAGCCCTCTCTCACCGATCCTATTCAACATAGCATTGGAAGTTTTGGCCAGGGCATTCATTAAAGAGTAAGAAATGAAAGGTATTCAAATAGGGAAAGAGGAAGTAAAATTATCTTTGTTTTCAGTGACATGATCTTAAATCTAGAAAACCCCATCATCTGAGTCCAAAATCTCTTAAGCTGAAAAGCAACAAAGTCTCAGGATACCAACTCAACTTACAAAAGTCACAGCATTCCTATAAACCAACAATAGGCAAGCAGAGAGCCAAATCATGAATGAACTCCCATTCACAATTGCTACAAAAAAAAAAAACAAAAACGAAAACACAAAACTTAAGAATACAGCTACCAAGGGAAGTGAAAGACTCCTTCAAGAACTGCAAACCACTGCTGAGAGAAATCACAGGACTCAAACTAATGGAAAAACATTCCATGGTCGTGGATAGGAAGAATCAATATTGTGAAAGTAGCCATACTGTCCAAAGTAATTTATAAATTCAATGTTATTCCCATTAAACTACCATTGATATTCTTCACAGAATTAGAAAAAAGATTTTAAAGTTCATTTGTAACCAAAAAAGAAACCTAATAGCCAAAACAATCCTAAGCAAAAAGAACAAAGCTGAAGGCATCACACTACCTGACTTCAAACTATACTAGAAGACTACAGTAACCCAAACAGCATGGTACTAGTATAAAAATAGACACATATACCAATGGAATAGAATAGAGAAGTCAGAAATAAAACTTTTCACATACAACCATCTGATTTTCAACAAACCTGACAAAAACAAACAATGGGGAAAGGACTCCCTATTTAATAAATGGTGTTGGGAAAATAGGATAGCCATATGCAGGAAATTGAAACTGGACCCCTCCATGGCAAAATATACATAAATTAACTGAAGATGAATTAAAGACTTGAATGTAAAACCAAGAACTGTAAAAACCATAGAAGAAAATCCTGGCAATACCATGAACATAGGCAGGGGCAAAGATTTTATGATGAAAATGCCAAAAGCAATTGCAAAGAAAGCAAAAATTGACAAATGTGATCTAATTAAACAAAACTGCTTCTGCACAGAATAATAAACTATTACCAGAGTGTATACACAACCTGCAGAATAGGAGACAATTTTTACAAACTGTGCATCTGACAAAGGTCTAATACCCAGAGTCTATAAGGAACTTAAACAAATTTATAAGAAAACAAAAACAACCCATTAAAAAGTGGGCAAAGGACGTGAACAGACGCTTCTCAAAAGAAGACATACATGCAGGCAAAAAAAATATGGAAAAAATTACTGATCATTAGAGAAATGCATATCAAAACCACAATGAGATACCATCTCACACCAGTCAGAATTGCTATTATTAAAGGTCTAAAAGCAACAGATGCTGGTGAGGTTGCTGAAAAGAAGAATGCTTTTACAGTGTTGGTGGGAGTATAAATTAGTTCAACCATTGTGGCAGACAGTGTGGCAATTCCTCAAAGACCTAGAAGCAGAAATAACATTTGGCCTGGCAATGTCACTACTGGGTATATACCCAAAGGAATATAAATCATTCTATCATAGAGACACATATACACAAATACTCATTGCAGCACTTTTCACAATAGCAAAAATGGGGAATCAACCTAAGTGTCCATCAGTGATAGACTAGATAAAGAAAATGTGATACATATACATCATGGAATACTAGGTAGACATAAAAGGAATGAGATCATGTCCTTTGCAGGGACATGGATGGAACTGGAAGCCATTTTCTTCAGCAAACTAACACAGAAACAGAAACACAAACACTGCATGTTCTCACTTGTAAGTGGGAGTTGAATGATGAGAACACATGGACACATGCAAGGGAATAACATGCACTGCGGCTTGTCAGCAGGTATGAGGTAGTAGGAGGGAGGGCATCACAAAGAAAAGCTAATAGCAAGGCTTAATACCTAGGTGATGGGGCACATCCTGCACATGTACCCCTGAACTTAGAAGAAAAAATCCAATGATAAGGATAAATCCTGTATTTCTGTGGCATTCTTATTTCAAAATGCTTTCTCCGTTATTTCATTGTCCTTTTAACTTCCTTGTGAGATGAAAAGAGGAATTATGATCACATTTTAGAGAAAGTCAGGCATGATGGTAGGTGCCTGTAGTCCTGGCTAGTTGGGAAGCTGAGGTGGGAGGAACCCAGGAGTCCATAAATTCAAGACCAGCCTGAACACCATAGTGAGACCTCAGTTTCCTACCAAAAAAACCCCAAAAAACAAAAATTAGAGCTGTGGAAATGAGGCTCACAGAATCAGAATTAGAAAGAAACTTTCAGGATTATACATTTTGTTCTATAGTTTAAGTAAGATTACATGGCCTGCCAAACAGTCAAACTGCTCAGGAGCCTCTCTCTAAAGTTGCTCAGACATCACTAGGTCATTGAACCATCATGAGACCCTGATGAGCTTGATGTAGGCAACTTTATTATTTTTTTTCTCTGATAGATAGTTAGAAGGAACACTTTGATGAGTTGTTGGGAGAGATCTAGGACACATTGGAGATGGCAAAAACTTGGTTCTACAGAAGTGGGTCGGGTTGGTTTCAGGGATTTTGTTTACTAAGCAGAATATGCAAGCTTTAGGGCAAGAATGACTTGTTCAGAACGCTGAGAATCATGGACATGGCCTAAGATATATCCAAACACTTGGATGACATAAGCACAATGATCACTATTTGATACTTGCTTTTAAGGAAGAGATAAGCTCCTTTTTTCTGAGAATTTATCTCAACTGTATGAAATTTCTGATGATTGTCAACCTGGACTCTAAAGCTAATATAAATTACAAAATTTAAAGCCCACCAAAAGTCGAACTTTAACCCTTTATCCTTGCTACCAGAAGCCATCAAGCAGGCTAAGAGGATTGGTGCTCTGTACGAAATTGTTCTGTTTCCCTCAGACCTTTGTACGTGTGCTGGTGACTACATAATGTTAAATATGAACAGATGATGAAACTCGGACATAAAGAAGAAATAGCTTTCTATGTATTAACTCACAGGCCAACTCTGACTAGATGATGACAGCCAGTGGGTGCTCTATGGTGTGAGAGATTAGGGACCATGTCGAGATCTTCAGGAAAGAATACTATGATTGCAGGAGATGGAAGAGGTGGTGTTTGTGCCCTGTGTTGGCCTTTTTCTATAGAGCGAGCATAGCCTCAATTAAGCTTGCTTCTTGCCTCCATCCGGAGTTCTCTTAGGCCTTTGGCTAGTTTTTTGAGAACCTGTTATTTGTATGGCAGAGTGAGAAGAACGTAGTTTGTTCCTTAGCATCTAGTTTGTTTGCTTAGGGTTGGAATGCTCTGTAATTATAGCTGGTACTGTTCTTGGAAAATGCACATGGCAAGATTGGGTATATATTTGGTGGGTCTATATAGTTTGCTGGAGGCGTCTTTGAAAGGCAAAGACACTGGGAGAAGCTGAAGAGAGAGTGGAGTGTTCACCTCGTTATTTTGGCTGGTATGCTCTTTTTCCACAGAGTTCATGCTCACGAGTTTTGATCTATGAAGATAAGAGCCAGGACAGAAATTGAACAAAGTGCACTAATATATTCATACTACAGTATGGTTATTTCAAAAAAAGCTTTAAATTCTAAATCTGTACTATCCAATATTGGAACTACTGGCTACCCAGAGCTATTTAATTAAAGTTAAAATTCATTTCCACAGTCGAGTACATCTTTTATGAACTCAATTGTCATATGTAGTTAGTTTTACCTACTATCTAGCACAGAAAATTCTACTGGGCAACCTGTTCTAGGTTGACTGTCTTGGCCTAAGAGTCAAGCCATAAACCAATGTTCAGCAATGATCTTGAGTGACTTGAAGGTGTCCTTTAGGACCCACAAGTCCCAGGACCCTGGCCCACAGTTTGTACTTGGCCTATAGAGAGGCAATATGCAGTTTTGATCTCTCGTTCTTGACCCAAGGATTTCAGAATATTTCATAAATAGAAATACTTCTTAACTAAGTTAATATTTAACTTACAAAGAAGGCCGAGAAATGGAGGTGAGATTTTTGGTTTGGATTTCTCACCATTTAGACTCTTGACAAACAGTGTATTTTGAGGAGTGCTTTCCCTTTATAATTTCTACTTTTAAATATTCATAGTTCAATACAGTGTACAATTCTGATTTTTATAATGTGGTACCTGTAGTATGAGTCTAGAGATTAGTTTCATGCGTATCCCATATGTTTGAGTTTCCATATATTTGGGGGAAGTAAGGATGGTGTTAATTAAAAGGCCTTTCTGTGACATGTAAGGAATGCCTGACTTATCAAAGTGACTGACCACCAACTCTTTTTAAAGAGTTTCTACTTTTAATATCAACCTAAATAATAATGTGATAAAATTATGAAGGGAGAGGTGTGTCTGCAGTCTTTTAGAAGAATGGGAAAATGACTGGATTTTTTAAGTTGGTGTGCTTTACCAGATAACTAACAGAGGGGAAAGATATGTGGAGTCGGGACTCCTTCAATTCCAAATAGAAATTGATCTGGGAATTGTTTGCTCTGACTCAGGCTGAGATGGAGTTACTACCAAAACCAGGATGTTCCTTTGCCAAAGCTCACGTTTCTCTCTCAAGGAACCGAGCCTCTAGGTCTTCTTCTGTTTTCCTCAACGTTTCCTGGTACTTCTTCAAAGAGAAACAAAGGAAGCTACAGTTACTACTTAGAAGCATTATAATTTTTCTAAGCCTAATCACTTATTATTACACGGTATCATGAATGCTTGGTATTGCCACTGCCACCTTCTCTGCTTTCATAAACCCACCCCACCACTACTCTTGATCTCTCACTATGCCTCACCGCTGGATACGTTTCTGGGCATAATTGACATTATAAAAAGCAGTGTGCATTATTAACTTAACAGCACAGAGAGTGGGAGACCAGGGCAGGAATTCCCACGGAGTCAAAGACAAACAGAGTGATATTGGTAGTGGGGTGCTGATGACCTCAAAGTCTCCCAGTAGTGCCACCTTGAAGTGTTGAAATTGTTCTAGATAGTATTTTTTGAAAATCCTGGTTCTATTTCATGCTGTACCTTAATAAAATCTTTGCTATCCCTTTACCAAGAAGCTCTACCTTTATGCAGAAGGCTTGATCTTCACAGAGCTGGGTCACAAATGCATAGTCCTTCATTACCTGGGAAATCAAAATTTGGTTGTATATATACTTCAGCAAATTGTTATAAGAACTCAAGCATACTTGTTTCCTCCTGTGTCCCAACTCCTAATTGGTTTTCTAACTGTTCTAAATATTATTTATTTATTTATTATTTTTGCTGTACAGATAAATGTAGTTCCTTCTTTTAAGGTAAATAAGCTAAATGGGAGTTAGAGGTCAAAGGGGGAATTTGCGGGCAATTGGAAGTAGAATAGATACTAATATTTGCGAGATATATACTGTAGAGTGAATTATGTAAAAAAAAATGTGAAAGAGAAGGTAACGTCGGAGATTGTGTTTATCTTCCTTTTCTTTACCCCTCCCTAGCCCCATTATGGTCTTGGATCTGGAACCTTAACGTAAACCGCTCATTTGAGAAATAGATTGTCTGACCAAGGATCACATTTCCCTTTTTAGGGGTAAGTCACACTGAAGTTTGTGCTGTTACCTTGAGCAGCTCCTTCTCTTGGCGTGCGCAGGAAGCTTCCAGCTGTTGTAACTTAACCTAAAGAAAGCGAAAGAGACTGCTAACTCGGCAAGGTGAAAGCTGTGCAGGAATGGAATGCTGTCTCCAAGGTGGCCTCATGAGCTGTGAGGAGCCTCAGGGCCACAACGTCACACATCTGATGGAGGAGTTAAACCACCCAGTGCCCTTTGCAGTTGCTTGGTGAACTTGCTCTTTTATACTTCCTACTTTTTAGTCTTCATCTAATGCTACCTCTAAACTTCAGTTCTTAGCTTCCTACTGTTACTTAGCCATTTCTCTTAAAAATAATACCAATTTTGAAAAACTTTGCTCTTCCTTTTCCTTTTAACATAGTCCGACTCTAAGATGTTTGCTTACTCCTTTCTCCCTTCCTGTATGCCTTCCTCGCTCTTTTATTTCCTGCAATACTTGGCAAAAGACCATTCTATATCAGTCACTATTCTGGAGTGAAGTATGTGTGTGTCGGGGAGCAGGGGGTAGTACTTAAGATACAGTAGTAACAGGACGAACTGGCTCTCCAACCTCACAGAGCTGGCATTCTAACAGGGAGACACAACAAATACATCAACATGATAATGGTATGTGCTATGAAGGAAACAAAAACATTAATGTGATGGAAGATAGTAATGGTAGTGGTTATACGAGAGGTGGCGGTAGGTGGTTGGCAAAGGCCTCTCTGATGTGATGCTGGTTGAGCTACAGCCTGAATGTTAAATGCTAGCTAAATGGAGATCCAGAAAAAATATGTTCTCTTGGAAGGGTATGGCAAGGGCCAAGACCATGAAATTATCACAGATTTGGCTTGTGTGAGGAATCCAGTGGCCAGAGCATAAGGGAAATTGGTAGGTAGGAGACAAGGTGGGAAAATGTGGACAGGGGCTAGATTGTGTAGGGCCTTGTGGCTTCTAAAAGGATTTCAGTTATTTGTTCTAATCGCAGTGAGAAGGCAGGAGAGGCTTGAAGTCTAAAGACACAATCTGATTCAGGCTTTTAGAAAATAGCCTTTTATGTGTCTGAAAAAAAGAGATGGGGTGTGAAAATAGAAGCAGGGAGACTAGTTGAAATGTGACTTCTCTTGTCCAGGTAAGGGGTTATGGTGGCTTGTAAAAAAACAGTAGCAACAGAAGTGGTAGACAGGAAAGGATGCATTTGAGAGAGAATTTGGCGGAAGAGCAGACTTGACCATTCTTCCTTCTTTTTTCAGCTCTGCTGTTCCCGCTTTCATCTAGGTGCCGTTACTTCACATCTGCACTCTTCTAACAGTTGCTTCACTCTTCGTTCAGTTACATCCAGGACCAGTCAGCCAAGTGTGCTAAGGGATGTATAGTTTCAAGCCAATGCTGTGAGTCACAAAGGGTTGAATTAGGCACCCCATTAAGCTGCTGCACTGATTGCTAGCATGTCAGAGGAACAGAAGCAGAAGAGATCCTGTACATGTCACAGAATCAGAGCTATCACCTGACAATTCAGTCAAATAGGTGGGCAAAAGAGTGGTTCAAAGGATTAAACAGTACTCTGGAACTCTTTAGGGTTAACTAGCCAAACGAGGGCCGTTATTCTGACTAACACTAGACTCTGTTGTCTATCAGCTGACAGAGTGAACACAGCCAGACTTAAAAGTGTCACCACTCAATTATGGCTGGGCTTATTTTCTGGTAGAAAGAAATGATCTTGAAGCAAATCAGTGTTTTGACCACTGCAGTCAGATGGTACTCAGGGTTCTTTATAACTCTTCCTAATTTTGGCTCCGATTTCTTCCTGATTTCTCTCTTTCCAGATAACTAATCTGAATGAGCAGAGCCAAGCAAGCTTATTTGGTGGTTTTGGACTTCTTTCTTTTGTGGTCACCAAAACTAAATTGCCCAGCAGAAGATAGGAGAGTCATTCTCCATATTTTCATTTTCTATTTCTATTTTCTATGTGTCTAGATCTTCAGAGGTTTCATACACACAACCAAGGGCGGGCTTTAGAAGGAACAGACAAGTTAGATAAGGCAAGGGTGAAGATGTAATTGCAGAGAATGTGCCAAAATCTTTTTATCTGCTCTCTGAAGAAAAATGAAGTGTCCACAACACAATATGTCATTGTAGCAAAATGGCACTTGTACTCCATGAATATATACAAAAAATTTTACCCTCTGTCTCATCAAATGGGTGTGGCTAGCCTCAGGTTCTTAGCTCTAGAACACAATTAGAGACATGCCAAGCAGAGTATGATGTGCATAGCAGGTAGTTGTAACATTAAATACATGAGCGACTAATTGAATCCTTTTCTAAATTGGCATCCGTGACAGGGTACATAAATTGCCGAGCACTCAGTAGACATACAAAACCTAGTGCTGCCTCTGTGAATGTATACATGCACTTCAGCAAGACTTTTAAATAATAACTTAAAACTTGCCCATCTTTTTGAAGTTGGAACTATCCAAAAAAGAAAGGAATATTTTACGTACACAATTCATTTAATCTTGAAACTGAGGCTGAGAGGGAGTGATTAAATTACTCAATTTCATATACCAAATTATGTGCTGTGGCTTTAAACTAGGGAGTTTAACTGCCTCAAATGTTGCATACATATTTGTGCCCTGCTCTACCTAACAGAAGAGAGAACAACAAATGAGACTTAAGAGTGCCATTCCTTAATAAACGCAGAGAGACTCAGCACTCAGTGGCCCAAGCTTAAGCTTGACATGTGGGAAAACTACCAAGAATTTGTCGACCGGGCTCGGTGGCTCAAGCCTGTAATCCCAGCACTTTGGGAGGCCGAGGCGGGTGGATCACAAGGTCAAGAGATCAAGACCATCCTGTTCAACATGGTGAAACCCCGTCTTTACTAAAAATACAAAAAATTAGCTGGGCACGATGGCGCGTGCCTGTAGTCCCAGCTACTTGGGAGGCTGAGGCAGGAGAATTGCCTGAACCCAGGAGGCGGAGGTTGCAGTGAGCCGAGATCGCGCCATTGCACTCCGGCCTGGGTAACAAGAGCAAAACTCCATCTCAAAAAAAAAAAAAAAAAAAAAAAGAATTTGTCACAACGTTGCAATGATTTCCGACTTAACGGCTTGTTTCCTGGTTACATAGCCCAACCACATTTAGGATTGCTTTTTCATTTACCTTTATCTCTTCTGAGGCTCCATCTGGAGTACTTTGTTCACAATTGGTTATCTTTTGTGATTTCCTTGTAAGCTATAGTTTCAAATAAAAAATATATTACATTAAAAAGTATAGAAGACAAAGGCTTTCTCTAGTGTGTGGAGGTTAGCAACTATGGCCTTTATAAAACCCTCCAGGACGTGGTCCTTGGGTAGATATTTGGTGACCTGTGAGAACATCTTTGTTCAACCTCCATCTTCTTCTCACTAGTCTTGGCCACTGATGCTAGAGACTCAAGGCAGGAGTACTTTCTTGAACCTGCAGTTCATGCAGGGTTACTCAGGGGTATAGCCCTCTGCAGTAGAAGGCTACTCTCTACTCATGGGTCAGAGGGTAGGGTAGTCATTGCAAGTCCACTGTATTCTGAGGAGCTGTTGAGGTATTAGAAATGTCTACATATGAAACAGGAAATCTGTGGGGATTAAGGTAATTGTTGTTGTTTAAAAAGTCTCTGTTTAAAGTAAAATTAACCTCTCACCACAAAGGTTCTAGTTAATGACTTCACCAGAGTATCTGTTGGAATCCATTTTCTGGTGATAGAAGGAAGAACCCATGAGATTACTAAATATTCCATCTATTCCTTTCCCCTCATGCTTACAGAGAAAATCTGTAACATTTAGATCATGAACCTCGGCCTTGGGAGAGTGGATTAGAGAGTAGTATGCATTCCACGTACAGGGGTCTCTGACTTACGGGCTCCTCTATGATCACTTCCCCCCAACCTAGCCTCTTTGATGAATGGTGATGTTGTGGGGACACTGGAGAACACAAGAACCCCACCTCACCTTTCGTTGAAGTTCTGTTATACTGTGGACCAACGTTTCATTCTTCTTTTCCTGTGAGAGAGAAATAAGAGTATAAGTCTGCCTCTGTATTCTATCATCTGTTCTTTTTCAGTTGATTGCTGTCCATTTCACCCCAACTATAGTTTCCTGCAGTAACTTGACCTTATTTGCATAATGCCATGTGTGTGTTGAGATTAAATCATGTTGAAGTACAGGGATATAGAGGCCCATCTGCAGGGCTTCCCAATATTAAACATTACCAAAGAAGCCAAACACATTACCAAATATACCCCCTTCCATGCATGGACAAATTCTATCATGACTTTTGAGGTGGCTACTCTTCATGTATAAAAAGGAGAGACAAGCTAATCTGACAGTTGATGAAGGATGCAATGAGGAATGTAACCTCTTAAATGGCTCTTCCCAGCTTCTTGCTTACAAGTCTGGCCGTTTCTTCCTCCAGCTCCTGTAAGGCTCTTTCCCTTTCCATCATGGTGCAGTTCTCCTTCTCCCACTCTTCATCTTCCACCAGGTCTCCCATCTGAGTGGTCTCACTTTCCAGCCTTGACAACACAAATGTATGCTGTGAGGACCCATGTTTGGCAGTTTCAGAACTGATAAAACACAGATATCAGATATAAAGGAATTTCAGGGACCTTGCACATCAATCTCAAGCAAAAACCCTTACTGAATCCATAGGATTGTGATCACTTCAGCATTACAAGAAGGAAGACCTGCCTGATTCCTAAGCCAAACACTCCAATGTTCTCAACTCTGTCTTTTAGGAATCTGTTTGAAACTTGCTGTGCTTCAGTATTCAAGAGAAATGTCGAAGAATGAAAAAGTAACTTTTGCCACACAAGATAGAGATCTCTAGAGCAAGCAGGAAAATTCAGCTTTTGTTTTATTCCTCCACCCCTTCTTTGGATTGGAAACTCCCCTCACGAAACCCTAATACTCACCTCTGAATCCTATCTTCTCTCTCTTGGATTTTGAGAAGAAGTTCCTGATTTGCTTCATCTAGTCTCTGCATATCCCTTTCAAGGTCCATGTTCAAACTGATAATGTTTCTTTTTGACTGGGTCAATCTTAAGATTTCCATTTTCTCTGACCTATAGACGCAGTTCCCAAAATGAACAAGGGTCTGTTATCTTAATATCAATAATCATTGGGCCAAAAAGGATATCTGAAGACACAGAGTTTATTAACCTCGCTCTCTCTGGGGACCTAACATTTTCATTCTTGAAAAATTGCATTTGTTTATCATGATCTACAACTGTTTCGATAATTCTCAGCTCAGTCAGCAAGGGTCTTTCCCAGGCTCTCTCCTCCAAAGTCATCAATCTAATAGTGCACCTTCTCTCTGGTTTCATGAGAAGCTTTGCTTCCTTAAATAACCCTTGCACTGGAGAGAAATCTTTCTCTTGGCAATCTTTTCTTAGATAAACTGCTCATAAAACCTGCTTATGCAGTACACTTTTATTGAACACTTTTATCTAAGAACCTGTCACATCACTTCCGGTTGGGCCTGGCTTTCTGCAGAGCCACAGAAGCTTTCCACCAGCATGATAGGGCTTCAGTCTTTCCCTTCCTCCTCCTACCTCAATACTTCTCCCTTACTTGCCTACTGCAAAGTTTGAAATTGTTACCATGAGAGTCATTCCAGTGAGCACACACAAATCGGCTCTAGGCATAGCTTTCAAGAATACAAACATCTGTTTTGAAGTAAATTTAAACGGAATAATGGTAACTCTAGAGTATTTTAGAAAGAGCTCATGGGAGACACACATACACACACACACACACACACATATGTATATATTTTTTCTTCTAATGTACATTAATTCACTGATTTGTCTTTGAATTGATTAACCACAAATAGCTTCATGAGGTACAGGGCTTTTGTTTTAGATAGGCATGAAGGACATATTGAAAAGTTAAGTCCTATCATGGAAGTGTTGCTTGGATGGGGGCTTTATAATAATTACTTCAGAAGGGTATGGCATGCTTGGGGTAGGGTACAGAGGTGGGTGCATAAACAGGAGTAAAACGGGAGAAGGAGGCAGGAAGATGAGGGAAGGGGTGGGTAGCAAATCTGCTTCACACCTTGGTCCCTGGATATGGCTTTGCATAATAATGACTACTTAATCTAGCTGACCTTTCTTGTGTCCTTCCAATGTCGATTCCCTAAAATGCCAATGGAGTTGTATCTAATGAATGGGGAAATGGGTTCATTTATGAAGGATAGAGTACCTACTATTTACATTTTGCTTCTACTGAAAAGTAGAAATCAAATTAACTGGTTTTCTCCCTCTAATCCTCCTATTTAACCATGACAAATCTCAGCCCTTCGATTCTTCTGCCCATGATCTGATTATACCCTAGTAAAGATACAGTCAGGATACAGGGATAATGCTGGAATGTATGTCGTATTAGTAGACACAGTCAGAGATGGCTTATCAACATAAAAGCCTTTGGAAGTTTATACAAGACACTATGAAGAAATAGAGGCAATAAATATTTAGGTCTCTTTTTGTTCTAGGCCAGTTGCTTTCCATAAGTCCCCATGGGCATGAATGTAGGAGGTTTACAACTGCCCAGAAAAATAATCTCTGCTTTCTATTTTGGCTTATGCCAGAATTTCCAGATATTAAGATCTTTAGTATTAAAGAGGGCTCAGAAAACCAAGTACAGGTCAATGATTTTGCTCTCTCTTCCCCTCAGTTTTCTTTTCTACCCTCCATTTTTTCTACAAATTCTACCTCCCTTTGGATGTGTCTGATCCTTCCCTAGTCGATTAGCTTCTGAGGAGTCTAATCTTTCTACACTGGAACTATCCAGTAGAATCTCAGAACATTCTGAGAGGTCATGACTCTTCTTTTGACATAGGATGGGCGGGGCAACATGTCATAGTGGGGTGGGTGGCAGTGGTTTCTCATCATTTGCGCAGAGTTCAGAGCCTAGATGAGTGTGTGGATTTCATGGCCAAGTCTGCCCTGAGTAGCAGTAGCTTCAGTGGAGTTGATTTCTGGTCAGTTTGAAGGGGCAGCCTCTATCTTTTATTTCTCTGGCAGATAAAGCTCTCTTCCTGGGGCTTTCATTTTCCTTTGCCTTTAATTTTCTCAGTCTTTTAAGGAGGTTCTCCTGCTCGAGAGGGATCTTCTTTCCCATGATGGAGGCAGGTAAAAGAAAAAGCTATGTACCCAGAAGACTCACAGAAAAAGCTTCAGGTCTTCCTGGCTCCCCTTAGTGCTTCCAGATCTGCTGGACTCTGTGTCTACCTCAGCACATCCAGAGAGCTTCTCTTGTCCACCAAGCTTCTTACCACATCTACAGTCCACTTCCAGGTCTGAGAGTGCTCCGTTGCTTTTTCTGCACCACCAAAATTATACTTGCGACAACCTCCCCACCACACTCAAAACACATACACACACTGCGTTTGCTCTTACCTCCTTCACGTGTTTCCTCGTGGTGTCTTACCAAGCAAAAGAAGATCACTGCACAGTGTGCTGGAAACCAGTGTGACTAAAATAAAAAGTCTAGGTCCTTTGACCAGCAGTCTGATTTCATCATGTAGTCAACTAACTACTCATTTATTCAACAAACACTGGAACACTGAATGAGCATGATGTGTTTTCTAGGCTCTGTTCTAAGCATTGGAGAGAACACGTGAACAAAAGAGCCAAAAGCTATTGATCTCGTGAAGTTTATATTCAAAGATGTGTGTGTGTGTGTGTGTGTGTGTGTGTGTAGGGGGCCTGGTGACACAATAAAATAAAATTATTTTTTACTTAATATGATAAAAGAGGAGACTGCTGAAACCATACCCCAAAGAGTTAAAGAAACCAGTGACTAACAAATTCTTGAGCTTACAGAATAGCAGATAAGAAAAGAAACTATTTGCTGAAATGCTGAAACTCCTTCCATGTGAGAGATTTAAAAACAAAAAACCTGGCTGAAATTGGTTGGAACCAATAGGGCCAACTGGAGTCTGTGCAGAACAAGCTTACTGATGTCATGGTCTGAATTTCCAGTGCAGGTTTTATGTTAATTTCTTCTGAATTTTTCACATGGGACCCATGAGGAGGCATGAAGAGATAACTGTGGATGCCTGAGGACTTTCCAGACCTCCCCTTTTCTTCTGTCAGCCATTTGCTAATTCTAGAATCCACTCCCTACCTTTTTTAATAAAAGATAGAGGCTTCCCCTTCAAACAGGGAGATAGATTTGAGTTGGACTCCTGTCTTCTTGTTGGTAGACCTACAGTAAAAAGCTTTTATTTTCCCAAAAAACCTTGTATCAAAGTATTGGCTTCTAGCACATTGGGCAGGGAGCCTCTTTTGCTTGGTAACTACCGTGAGGAAACATAAACAGGTGAGGAGGGAAGAGCAAACGCAGTGTGCATATGTGTTTTGAGTATAGTGGGGAGGTTGTTGGAAGTATAATTTTGGTGGTGCAGAAAAAGTGACTGAGCATTCTCGGACTTGGGAGTGGGTGTAGATGTGGTAAGAAGCTTGGAGGACAAGAGAAGCTCTCCAGTTGTGCTGAGGTGGACACAGAGTCCAGCAGATCTGGGAGCACTGAGGGGAGGCATGAAGACCCAAAGCTTTTCCTATGAGGCCGCCTGGGTACAGAGCGTTTTCTTGTACCTGCTACCATCTTGGGAAAGAGGAGCACTCTGGAGAGAGAGAGTCTCCTTAAGACTGAGAAATTACCTGACATGTTTAAATTGGAAAATTTAATGAAATCCAAAATTGGCTTTATTCTTTTCTGCCAACTTTAGGATTAAGAGCTAGAGGGGAAGGTATGATCAATTGCAGAATCTAAAGAATATATTTCTGCCTACCTGAAGGTGGTGTATACCTTTGATAAGATTCTGCACCAGTTGTAACTTTTTGTGTATGCGAGTCACGGAAACTTGTGAAGTTTTGGATCTCTACTTAGTAAGGACCACATTGAGTTGATTTGTGAGCCAGAGTGACTTCTTAACATACTGTAGTTTCCAATAAACTATTTGTAAAATTAATGGCCTCTGATGACCCCCATTACCATCTCCCTTCTTCCTGAAAGAAGGCATTTCATTGCTTTATGAAGCTGTACACAGAAGAGTAATTAAGTAACAATTCAGGCCAATGGCCTCTCCTAGGAATTAATGGTAGGGAGAGTTCATTAACCCCAGCTGGTTATAGCTTCTGCAGGAAATGCCCTGGACCAAGGTTATGAGAGCTGTTAATGGATTGGACAGGGACTTTAACTGGGATAAAAATAAAGCGAGATCTCCTTCCTGGGGAGCTTTTCTCCTTGAGGGGCTACCGAAGGCAAGCTGGTATGAGCAGCAGAACCCCAGGCTTGAGGCCTTGTGTGGGATGAGGACAACAGATTGCTATCATTGGGAATTATTAAATCAAGGTAAAAACAGGAGCTTGGGGGCAAATTAAGGTGTTTGGTATAAGCCTTCCTGCTATTTGGGAGATGGTTTGGTTAACACCTAGTGCAGCTTTAGAGCAACTGTTTTTGGCTTAACTTTTCGCTGTCATGCCTTGCCAAATGCAATAGACTTGCTGAGAGATCCCATCCCTATAAAAGCGTTCAAAGATTTTATTTGTATAAGCATTATAATTTTCAGTATAAGCAAAATATAAACTTGTATTTTGACCCTTTACGAATCAGTATTCAAAATAAAAAGTATAAGAAAAATAAGAGCAAGAGGGAATAACTGTCTCGCTGGGATTAAAAGGCAATAAATAAAAAATCCCGCATATGTATGACTATACCTGGAACATTTTCTGACTCTTCTGTAAGGCTGGAAGAGCGCAACGTGAAAAGGGAATTTTCTCAATTATAACACAGAGATACTGCGGGACTCTTCCTGGGTGTGTGAGGGGCAGGATTTCAAAGGCAGGAGTTTCCCGGCTCCACCCCTCCATCCGGAAATGTCAAGTTCTTTGTGTGCCCTCTGGGTTAGGTGGAGAAATCCAGGTGGGCCCCCGAAAGCTCTGGGAGGAGGGGGCTCTCTAACTCAGAGTTGTGGACCAAGTAGCCAATCTGGTATCAGAGTCAAAGATCAGTCACTCCAGAGGAAGTTTGAAAGAACTCCTCTCATTGGATGAGAACATGAATGGGGAGGGAATAATTCAAGGGTTAAAATTCTGCTGCTCACTCCCGATATAGATTCCTTCTCTGGATCCCCTCCCACGGCAGCATGGGAGCTGTCTTTCTCTTTCTCTGTCTCTGCCTAATAAATCACTTCTTCACAAAACCAATGGTGAGCTCACTGCATCTCCGGCACCCCTTTCCTCATTCTTCAGGGTAAGACAGGCCAAGAACCTCTTAGGTTCTGGGAATTGGGAGCTTCTTCAGGATGCCCCCCCCACCCACCATTGCAATACTACTATGGAGCAGCTATTTACTGTAGGCTTCATAGTAGTAACATTTTGTCGTTGTTTTAAATGATGTCATTTCATCAGAGGTAACCAATGCTTGGTTGCTGCTTTAATCACCCTTTGCTTTATTTTAAATTTGCTTTTCTAACTTTTATATTTAAAATTTGCAATTCATAAGTGATAATTAAATGGAGGATTCCTAAAAAAAGAAGAACTGGAATAACTTTACATGCAAAGTCTTAGGAAACAAATTTACACTGACTTCTGATGTAACTTTATAGTTTTTTCTCAAGTCTTCCAACTCTGTGTTCTTTTTGCCATATATGGAAAAAATATTTGATTTTTTATTAGTCTCATTTGATAATTGTAGAGAATCTTCCATACATTAAGATTTTGGGGCATCTTTTGTTTAACCAAAATAATACTGTGCTGAGATAATTATGCTGTAAATGACATTATTAACTTAGCTTTGGCTACATATCTATCATTCTTTCTTTGTTTAACAAATACTTTTATTGAGCATCTATTATGCATGGACCTAGATAATGGAATGACCCACACATGACTACTCAGTTTTGTAAAGGAGACAGACAGGGATATAGTATGGCCCTACAATGTGATAAACGTCATAGTGAAGAAAGGTAGAAAGTGGTTAGAAAGTGCTTTGAATACAAAGAAGAAACAGCTTTAAGTGATTTGGGGGAGCTTTCATGGGGAGGTAACTTTGGGTTCAGTTAATCCTAAAGGAAGGGAATAACTTTACCAGAAAATAGGAAGGACACTGTAACAGGAGGAAAACAACAGGTTCAAAGGCACAGAATGCTCAGTATTCAATAAAGCCACTGTAGTTTCTGTCTAGAGCAGTACATACCAGTGGTGTTACCTGAACAGGTGGTTTAACGTGACACAGAGATCAACTTTTTAATTTTTGAAAATTAATGTCAAAGTAATAGTTAAATATATAGTAAAATGGTTAGTACATTAAAACTTGACTAAAAGATATTGCTTTGAATGAGGATAATTTTAGGTAAAAACATTACTTGGTTTGTAGAAAAATATTAAGTTGATAGCAATTTTGAGGGAATGTAAATGAAGCAAACACTGCGAAGGTGGTGTGTGGGTGGCTGAAGTCTGGGAAACAGAGCTCAAAGAGTGTATGTGGCATGGCCTGGAGGGGAAGGAACAGCTGTGTTGGTTGAGGAGCACCACGTGCATGTACTGCAGACTTTAGGTTTCACCTTGAAAGCTCCTGGAGAGGCATTCGAGACTTCTAAGCAAAGAGTGGCAAAATTGTTTTTGATAAAGATAACATAGGACAGTGAAGGGTAGATAGAAGGAAGGAGTCCCCTCCTTATCCCCGTGTTTGTCTATGCTATACATTAAGATCAGATGTCTCAGGGGA